TCAGGCTGAAGCACAACCCTGTGGATAAGTCGTCAACTGGTCAACATGGCGCTGAGTGCTGAGCGCGACGGCATGAGGCCCTGACCCCAGACCTGCACCTGTGGACTCTGCACACGCGATAAGATTAGATTCATTTCCTGGGATGCAAGTGCAAATATCAGCCCATGTGGCTAAACAGCAGAACAAGTGCACAATTACACAACACTGTATGAAACACAAGAGGCTTCATGGCTCAGCTGGGACTTTTACATGCAGGCTTCAGATCTGTTTGAAGTTCATCTTTTATGTCCAATCATTCATGTACAAATGAGTCTTTCATTAAATTAATGCAATAATGCTGGAGCTTATCTCCCGTCCAAGTGATCATAAACGTTATCGGCTCTAAAAGCTGATAACCTGACTTTAGACGGAGATGAAACAACCACACAATTTACTTTTCTTATGAAAACCAAGAGAGAAAGCACATAGATTTCAGACATTCATGTGTTTGTTCTCTTTGTTCTTCCAAGCAGATAAGTAAACAGCAGTAAAGATAAAGTGAGGCCTGACAAACAGCATGTAAAGGGAACGAGGGGTGAGCGCATCCTGCAGAGACGCAAAAAGATGCAATGATGTAGAAAGTCGTCAGGAAGACGCGAGACGTTTAAATGCATTCACTGAGAGCAGGAGTTTATAACAACCTGTATGGTTTTATTCAAGTTTGCATTCACAAGCCTTCACAAAGGGTCATAATTATTCATACAGCCCCAAATATATGCACACACTGGCTCTCAGAAGTGTACAGTTTATAAATCCTCACCCTTCGTAGAAGCTACATCTGGTTAGGCGTTCTGTTTAGCTGTGACATCAGGAGGACTAAAAAAAATCTTAACCCCAAATCCGTCTAAATATTTATTATTTTCTCCACTGTTTGCTCAACGAGAATATCAATAAATATTAATAAATTGAAAAATAGGATCAAATGCTGTTACTGCGTGCAGCTTAGTGAGGCAAATCATATTTTTATGCAGCATATTACGAATGGGAATGTTTCTCAAGAGCAACATTTGTGTTTGTGGTCATTTGCCTAAAAAACAATTAATAAATAGTTGATATAATCATTTTTATTGATATAATAATAATAATCTCACAAAATATCGTGATGACATTTTAAGACCATGTCCCCCACCCATAGATTAAAATTACTTTCTTTTACTAAGTGAGATGACATGTGCTATGTATTGGCTCTATATAAATAAACAATTTCCATTTATATAGTGATTTATCAAGTCAGTGGACTCCAAAGCGACTTACACGACATTCACACACTGATGGTTGTGAGAGGCTGTCATACAAGCTGAAATTATTTATGTTAATCACAACTCAATATAACTAGCAGAAAGTTTGAACTCATGAAGACTCTGACTGCTGAGCATGAACTAAAGTGGCTTAAAGGTTTCTATAAATATGCAACCATATTTCAAAAGACGCTTCTGAAATGTAAAGCAAACAAAAACAAACTCCTAGAAAAATCACTCCAGTCAGAACAAGAGCCCCCTCCTTGTCTGCTCTGGTTTTAATCTTATCGCTCGTTTCCTCTCTCTGTTTTTCTCTCACTGACACACTTTGATTTATCAGGGTTCACGTTAAAGGGTGAACACCGTCCTCTGATTGGCCGACAGCCGGACAACTCCCACCCAGCCGGAGGGGCGTGACGGAGAGGGAAGGGGTCAGCATAAAAACAGGTGATGGGTGGTGTGAATGATAAAATAAAGGCCTGCTCAGCAGAATTACATGCATGTTTAAAGTGGAACAGAAAGTGTCTTCCTGCTTGCTTAATAATGGTTTTTGCCTCACAATCTGCTCATGTTGGCATTTTATTCTTTCAGTTTTACATCCTGAAGCTGTCAGAGTAACCGCTGCTTCCTCATCTGGTGCGCACCCCGTCCTTGTGCTCATCAGGCCTTTTCATGCACAAAACCTGCAAGAATTGTTTGACAATTTTAGTTATTTCAGAGAAAACCCAACAAGAGGTTTGAGATCATTTAAATGCACAGAAATAACTGCACAATAAAATCTGGATCAGATTAAGGTCCTGTAAGTTTTTCCTAAATAAAAAAGTCACACTTGATGATTCTGCACAAATTTGCAAATGAGTCCAAAGCCTCCAAAGTAGGCGTGTCCAAACGTTTAGTCTCAAAATAATTTAGTCAAAAATAATCATGGGAAAATAATTTAAAAAAACTGAAATCACTGAAATTGTACTTTTTTTTGTAAGAAAGGGATGTTATGACAGATCATACACTTAAAAAGGATTTTGGACATTTTGTTACACAAAATAAAAGTTATAATTTTCAAACTCTGTTATAAAAAATACATTCAAATCACTTTCTTTCAAAGCATTTGCTATATTTAATCTAGTTTAATAAATGAAATAAAAGCTGACTTCAGTACTAGAAAGTTGGTTTTCAGTAAAAGTGTCTGGATAAAAGCTTTTATTAAAAAAATTGTTGAGAAAAGACAAATGATTTGTGTTATAATTAACATTTTCCATTGCAAGTAAACTATGTCAACAATAATTATACCCGGAATAAAAATTTAAAGTTCAACAAGTAAATGTGTATCATTTTTGAGTTGCAGTTGGGGCCACAAAACTTAATTCAAGGGCCACAAATGGCCCCCAAGCCACACTTGGGACACCCTTCCTTTAAATAATTAAAGGACCAGACTTTTGTTGTTTTAAACTTAGTCCTAGACGCCATTTCTACTCAATACAACTTCTATTTCAGATTTTTAAAAAAGAAGGCCGTGGCTTTACGTTGCAGAGCAGCAAAGGCGAAAGGTCGAGGAGCTAACCGCCACCCGCTTCTAATGTGTGATAGTATTCTGTCAATAACTGTGCAGATGATAAATCATTCATCTCTACAAATAAAAGCATTGTTAATTTGAAAAAAGATGGCAAAATATAGCAGAAAATAGAATACATTTATTTACTACAGGTGCATCTTCATAAACTGGAATATCAGCGACAGGTTTCTTTACTCCAGTAATTTAATTCACACAGATTTATTACAAGAATCAAATCAAATCAGCAAATAAATTTTTTTTAGACAAATCTTTAAATAAATAGTACCTTTGCTGTCCAAGAGGAGCCAGATGAAGCTCATCAGATGAACACTTTGTTTATTCTGCATCCGGGTTTCCAGAATTTGTGAATCTCGACAAATGCAGCTTTCAGTGGCTCCATCTGACCACTAGGTGGAGCTAGATCATTACAGTTCTGACGCCGCACTGCGTCTCAATCTGGAGAGATAAACTAAGCACTGATACTTTCAACTGATCCAAAATATACATATACATTGAGACAAATGTCATCTAAACACGAACAAGTCCGATGATTTATCAGTTATATCAATTCCACATTATAATTTGCTGTAATTTGTTGATCACTCTCGAATAATTCACCAAGATATTTGATTTAATGCGTTATTATTTTACTCACAGTCCCGGTTTCAAACTGAGATCTGTGGCGCCCTCTAGGGGGGAATCCCTGACCTCCATTTTTACCTCCCATAATAATTACGGAGTAAAAACAAAACTTACACATTGATATAAATTGTATGGTCATTGAAACTGCGCTTTTTATTTTCCTTTAGTCAAAAGTATTCACATTGCAAGAAAAAATAATTTATTTTAAAGATATTTTATCGGATAGGTCAGGGGTTCGGACCCTCCAAAGTGGCTCTTAATAACTTTAGCTAAAAATTAAATGGAACCAGCTAATGTTTTAAACAGATATAATGACATAATTAGGTTTTTAACAGTGTTTTTCAGCATCGTATATCCACAAAAATGACACTAAATGTAGAAGTAATTTGCTTTTATATCTGTTTTTCTTGTTTGGAATCTGTGCTTTTTTATTTACATCATTTTCTACCCCACAGAAAAAACTAGCCATTCTCTTTTTGTTAAATTATATTATAGTATATAATATATTTATCTTTATCTTAAATCCAAAAAATAGAGTCAAAGTGGTGGTTCTGAGGTAAATGGTTTTCACTAAAAGGTGCAACTTTAACCTAAAGAACAGCTTCAGGTTCCAGATGATAAATAAACCCTTAAGACCAAAATAAATTAGGAATTTTAAGGATTTCTGATTTGTTTTGGCTTTTCAACATAGTCACCTTCTGTATTTAGTTTTTTCTTTATTCTGACTTTGTTTTTGGTTTTTTTCGTTTCGGTTCGGTTACGTTTTACCTTGATCTAAAAATATCATTCCACCTGCTGATCTGTTTACCGAAGAGCTACTAGGCGTTTAAGATGAAGGCACATGAACTAATTTAAATTGGTTGAGATGACAGTTTTAATTTATTGACAACAATCTTCATGCATTTCATTCTGAAGCTATTTTCTACTCTCTCTTTCTTTTTTCTTGCACTGCAGCCGGTTACACTGAAACTTGGCGTGCATTCAGAGGTCGAGAGGTAAAAAGTTTACACAGTTCCCACGAGAACTTTCCTGTCGACTGCCTCTATTCAGGAAGCTGCGGCTTCGACTTGCATCTACTCACATCTCCTGATCAGCAGAGTGCGTATCTGTGTGTGCGCGTCCTGCACGCACCCCACGTGTCAGGTGGCCCAGCAGCCAACCCCATAGGAAGCACGGTCAGACCCAGGGAGGTCAAGGAAAGGTCAAACAACCTGTTTTTGTCAACACGTTTCATGTGACTCCGCCCCGTCAACTGCCTGACAACCACAGTCTGCAGCAGCGATAATGAAACTACGATACCAAACGGAGAAGTTGGAGGGTTATCTGCCTGAACCGCCACTGAACTCAACATTACAGCAAATTTCTGGAGGCGCGTCACAGCTTTGCATCGAGATATCGTAAGAAGCAGAACAAAGCACGAGTCGTTTTGGAAAGATAAAAGTTCAAATTTATTAAACATAAGATTAAGGAAAATAATACATTAAAGGAAAAAAAAAAAAGCTTGTAGAGTTTTGGTCCCAGCAGATTTTTTTTTCTTCAATCTCTGATTTCATCTCAAGTATCTCTGGAAAGTTTGATCCAAAGAGAGCTGCAGAGACGGCTCCTCCACTCCGCTGTGACACAGAGCTGACATCATTAAAAGCACAATTCAACAGAAATGCTTCTCAGCACCTTTAGAATATCATTATTAAAACATTTTAAGCTAATTTAGTTGATAAATAAAACTTTAATTTTCTCAGAAAAGACTAAAAATATGTTATGTTTTGATCTACAAAATCAAGAATACTGCTGACCTCAGATTTTGACTGTAAGCCATAAAAAGGCACTGCCAGAGAAGCAGAATGTTTACAGATTATATAAACAAGTAAACTGAAAGTTTAGTGGAAGGAAAAAAAAACACAAAACCAACAGAAATTTCTGTTTTCAGATGAAAGTAAGCTTTGATTTTCATTTGGAAATGGATGTCCAGTGTGAAGTTTCAGTAAAGATTTAAGGATCCATGTCATCTGCTGGTCGTAGTCCTCTGCATTTTATCAAGACCATTTGTAGTGCAGATGATTGACACAAAATTTGTTTCATCTTGTACATGTGGGGGGACTGGTTGACCTTTGGAAATATTTATTAATTTCTTATATATGATAAATTTTTTTTGTTTGCACAAATGCAGAACAAACATTTGATACAAATTTAAGGTAATTTGAAAAACGTAGGTGGCCAGCTTCATGCAAATGGAGACCCGACTGAATACAGAGTGAATTTACTACTTTCTCCTTTGCCTGTAGATATGTTTCCACCACAACCTTTCCTTTCCACTAAGATGTTGTGTCAGTCTTACCATTTCTAAATGAAAACACATTTTTATTAGTCTTGGAAATTCTCAGGTTTAAAAGTTGTCCGTACCTGCAAGCCACAGAAATGAACAGAAAAAGTTTTATCAGCTGTATTTTTCACACACACACACCTGAGGATGTAGGTGACACTGAGGATGCAGAGCGGCTGGCTGGGGTTGGGTCTGGACCTGGATGGCTGGACGCCCGGGATGACGGCGCTGTGACTCTCCACCCAGACGTAACCTCCGCTCCTCACCAGCATCCGGTACTGACCGCTGACCGACTGGCTCTTCAGACACACTGCAGGATCAGGTGAGACAGTCACACAGGTGTGTGCGTGTGTGTGTGTGTGTGTGCTTGCGTGCGTGCGTCAGGGCTTACGGTTCAGGTGGTTTTTGTTCAGGCAGCTTGTGTCCAGCGTGTGACAGAGATCGTAGATGGATCGGCCCAGCAGCTCCTCGGGCCGGTAGCCGAGAAGAGAAGTTACTCTGCACAAACACAAACACACCAGATTCTTTTATTTCACAAAACAGAAACTGTCAGACGAACGCAGCATTTTTAAAGCATTTTTAATGAACGCTTTAGAATAAAACGTCAAAACCTGAGCAGCAGAAATAGGAAAAATTAGGGAGGTAAATGGAAACAGGTGCTTTTTCTAAATTTCTGTCCAGAATAGACATATTTTAATGTGAAATGTTCCTGAAATTTCTCAGATTATTTATATAACATAAAACTTTTTATATAAAAATAATCTTTATTAATGTTGAGTAAAGATTATTCAACATTATGTCTTAAAGATTAATATTGAATCTTTAATATTCGATGATAATTTAATGATTAAATAATGTTTTAATCATTAAACCATTTAATAATTAAATCCTTTATTTTAATGATTTTAATTATCAGTTATTTTAATGACTTAATCATTAAATGAAATGATTAATTTAATTTAATTGAAAGTTTAGAAAAAACACAAGGTTTTATTAAACTTTGTGTTAGAAAAAAGTTTTTCTAACACAAAGTTTAATAAAACACAAAGTTTTTCTAAATTATTTCCTTAAGAAGACGACGTTGCACAGTCAAGAACACTAGAAAGAAATGTAATCCCATAAACAATGACGTCTATGAAACAGTTTTCTTTTTGTTTTTGCAGGACAGTTTGAGTAGATTGAACTTTTAAAGGCTTTTCGTAGAACCTTCTGCAAATTCAACCTTTAACACCTTCAGCAACTTCATTGATTATATCCAGAACAAGCCCTGACAAACTGACAAGTACATGAGTTACATGTAACAATTTTACTTCCTTTTTAAATAATTTCATCACAATCAGCACTGATGGAGGAAATATCAGTTCTGCTTAATTACACAAGTATAGTGACGCGCAAATCCAACACAAGATAACTGAGAGGTTGTAGTTTGGAAAGATTCTAACAGATTTTTATCAAAAACAGAAGGAAATATTTCTTCTAACTACTTCCAAGCTGCTGCACCAATAATCACAGTGCTCATATTTAAGAATTTGACAGATTCACAACACAAACTTTGCTATGTTTTAATGGGATTTTGTGTGATAGACCAACATGAAAAAGTGCATTAGAAAGAAAAAAAAATGATTTTATGAATTTATATTATTATATAAAAGATGTGGATTTCCTTCTCCCACATGAGCTGTGGATCTCTGCAGCTCCCTCAGAGCCACCAGAGACCGAACGGCTGGTGGACAGACATGTTTTGGTAGGTTTGGAGTTGTGGTATTATTTATTTTAGAGCAACTCTGCTTTAAAACTTTTAATTTGACCCATCTGTTGTGTTTTTGGGTGCATATGACGCCTTCACAGACCAGATGGAGACTAAATCCACATTATATTTACTTTATTTACCAACTACATGACGTGTGACAGCTACTGGTTGTACTGGATTTTATTAAGGCTTATCAAATTAAAATGTCTGAATATAAATGTGCAGCACAATCTGTTAAAAAATGAAATTATTTTCCTTCTATTTTACAATGAACCCCTACTTTTGTAAATAAATAAATAAAATATTAAAGAGCGTTTTGCAGAGTACTACACATCAAAACATGTTGCTTGTTTTAACTTTTACTGATTGAGTTTTGCACATGCTCACTTTGCAGCTGTCGTAACTTAATTGTGTTTCCTTCATCGTCTCATTTTATCATGCGAAACGAACACTGGGTTGTGGTTTCAAGGAAAAAAAACAATTAATTTAAAAGTTTCCTACGTAGCATTCTACTGGCTTGAACTGAAAGGAACTGGAGTGACTGGAGTTTTCTGTGTGGTTGCAGCGTGACCAGCGTGTCACGTAGCGGACTGCTTCCCCTCTTCCACCTGTTGTTTCACGCTGGAGGGAAATTCCTCTCAATTCTTGGACAAAATTGGAGGTTTGGAAAACAAAGATCAGCTAATTTTGGTGATTCATTGCAGATTTCCCCTGACAACACATTAAAAATCTGTTGATCTGGACTCTAATTTTATATTCCATACTTTGATGAGCTGAAGAATAAAGTGACAGTGTTAAAAATAATAACTGTAGTGTTGTCGTAAAGATAAATTATTTCAGTAATTTAATTCAAGTTTAAAGTTTAAGTCTTTATTAAACTCAGACTTCAAAGGAAACCCAAACATCTGACAGTCGACAGTCACTGACACACGACACCAGCGATCTGCAACCGCTACAGTCCAAATTTTTTCCATTTTTGCCGTCAGGGTAGCAAAATTAAACTAATTTAGAAAAAAAAAAGACTCAAGATTTAAGTAAAAAACTTACAAAAAGAGGATAGATGTTTTTCCAATGAGATGCTAATATTTTTTGAAAACGATGTAAGAAAACATAAATGATAGACAAAAATTGATTTCAATAAATAATATTTGTACTTTTAGTTTCATTCTATCATGAAAATCCATAAAAAATGGGGGAAAACTACTTAAATCAGCATTTGTTTTTATATTTAAAAATATTAATTATTGTTATTTTCAATCAAAGACCCACTGTTGAAGGTAAAAATGCTACATGCATAAGCCATCGAGTGCTGTACTCTAGAACACAAATGGGAAGTTGAGTGGAAAGAAAAAATGTGATTCATTCATTTGGTAACTGAATTAGGCATAATCAAAAAAAATGAACGTAAATAAATACTTTATATAAATCAGTCTGTGTGGTGAAGCTACATAATGTGTCATTTTCACTTTTTCAACTGAGTTAATGACAAAATGAGGCAATAATTAGATGCTGAATTGGAGAATAATTCAGCAGGAGGGTGTCACCCTCCAGCTGAAGCCAGGCCAGATGAGCTGAGGCACTTCATCAGTGCAGACTGAAATCTGCATAGCTTAGCATGAGGCTAAGTGACGTTATTTTCAGGTGATCACAGCAATATTTTTATTGATTTTTTTGAGATGCAATGGTAATTAACTTGAGTTAAAAAAATGCATTTTAAAAAATTCTATTAAAGAAAGTTAATGGGAATAATTTAAGTAGCTATTTTGGTGATAGCTACTTAAATTAAAGTATAAAGTGTTTTTTTCTGACCTTATCAGGGTTTCGCGGTTGCCATGTTAGTTAATTCCTCTGCACTTGTTTCTTTACTTTGTTTCATTTGTTTTCTTAAATTATTGTCAAACTTTTTCTTCTTGATTTAGGTTTTTCAGCTAAAGAAAAAATAAAAAATGCTTTGAGATTTAATGGAAGTACTCAGTAATATCAAACTTTTACTAAATTAATATAAATAAACCATGATGTTTTTGCTGTCCTATCATCAAAACCTCATATAGTTGGTGGTTAGTTGGAACCACATCTAAAATTAACAGCCAATTTTTAACAAACTGCAATGTTTCTCTATGGGGAAAAAAGCTTCAGACTGAGAAAGAAGTAATTATTTAAACAAATATTCAGACTAGTATAACAGGATGTCCTGGTTCTTTAAAAGGAAGTGATAATACAGTTATAAACAGTCATCTAAGTAGCTGTTTTCAGATCTAGTCACAGCCTGACAGGTTCTGGTGAGGTTCAGGCCTCCCATCCTATTCAAGGAGAGAAAAGTAGATATAATAAAATATAGCAATACGGAACTAAACAAGTAAATGTGGAAGTAATTACAGCTACAAATTTGGACAAATAAAAGTAGAAATACAGAAATAGAGCGAGACAGAATGCAAGAGATAAAACTAACCACCAAAATTTGACACACGAGTCAGTTTGGCCTCTTCCTGTTAAACGTCATGTTCACCGAAATTCACCATCTTAACCACAGTGAAGACAGAGGTTGCCACCAAGAGGTGGGTCGGACTCAGAACCACAGAACAAAACAACACACACTTTCAAACTCAATCAAAGTTAATCCTTGCTGGGCCTGTCACGAAAACAAATTCTGCTGGATGATAAATTGTCCCAGAAGTTACTGCCAAAAACGATAATATTGTTGTTTTGAGACCATTTTCAAGTAATAATGCAGGAACATACTGTCAAACTTTAAGTTCTGATCTACATTTACTACTGGGACTGGAAGATATTTTAAATATCCAAAATAAATAAACAAAACAGAAACAACAAACAAAACTGTCCTTCAAAATAAGGGCAGGTTGAGACCAAATCACCAGACAGAATACTTTTATCATTTGGTAGAAAAAAGAAAAATGATAAATTATGCAAGTGAAAATGATTGAGTTTGCTTTAATTTATCATACGATTAATTGATTTATTAGTTATTGTGACAGGCCTAATCCACGTATCCTTGATTTATTTTAATCTGAATGTCACAAAAATAAAATAATTCAATATTTGGGAGAATCTTTTTGTGAAAACCAAACTTGCTCTTCATATGTGTGCATCTTTTTTTATTCAATAATAAAGTGATTTGAATAATGTAAAAATAATGACGCTCTTTATAGTGTGCAAAAGCAAAGCACTCAAAAGTACATGAGTTTAAAAAAAAGCAACATTTAACGTTATTTTTTTCCATTTAAGTCCTAAATTTGAATAGTAATGTTCTCTAAAGTGACTCAGACCTGCAGGAGGAGTGTTGAAAACTGAGATCCTACAAGCTGTGGCTAACGGCGGTGAGTTTATGCACCTCTGGTCGCAGTACGTGAACCTCATGTCCATGCTGTGCTGGCTGGTGAAGGTGTGCGTGCTGAGGAGCGTGTGTGAGAGCGGCAGAGGTCGGCAGGTCAGCAGCAGGCAGGACACCGAAGAAGAAGCCGTGCACAGCTTCACTCTGCCCTGACAGTGGAGCACCTGGAGACACGCAGAGCAGAATTAACAGCAGCGCCAGAACCCGACTTCTGGGTCTGAAGCCTGAACCTGCACCACCGACCTTCCAGGTGGTCGACTTGAGGTTCCCGACTCTTCCTCGGTGCGTCAGAGCGCTTTTTATCCTCAGGACGAAATCCCTCTTCTGGCTGCACCCAAGTTCTCCAGAGAAACAGATACATTAGAGCATTACTTTTGAAAACTGTCAAATTTTAAGCGAGTATTAAACATACTTTTGATTAACGCTACGTTTCTGCATTAAAAATGATTTATTTTATTGGTCTGATGTAATACTCTAGTATTAAATGTTACGTTTTCATTAACAGTAAGTGGAAAATCATCATTGCTAACAGAAATAAAGACTTTCAAACATCCGTCTGTCTAAAATTTATTTTTACACTGAAAAAAAATCCTACCAAGTATTTTTTTTTGTCTAGTTTCAAATGCCAATATTTTAACTTACAAGTAACTTTTCAGAGAAACATAGGAGCTTTTTTTAGGTCAATAATTTCATAATATTGATAAAAAGTACTAGTTCAACTGGCAGATTATTTCACCTACAACATGGGAGAAATGTCTTGTTACCAGTGAAATAATCTGAGTGGCACTAGTACTACTTTTAATTGATATTAAGGAATTATTTACTCAAAACAAGCTCCTATATCTTGCTGAAACGTTACCTGTAAGTTGGTTTTGTCTTAAGATATTTGGACTTCAAACTGGACCAACAATACTTGGTAAGATTTAGAGTTTTTGCAGAGTGTGATGAGGGTTACTAGGTGATAAAGTTTGTGAAATAAACTGACTTCTCAATAATATTCTAATTTATTGAACGTGTATTTAAAGGTGTGGCTCCGTAACTCAATTTAAAAAGTGAAAATCAGGTAGCGTCTTCACACACAAAGGGATGTTTTTCTGGTAATTTTGATTATTATGGCTTACAGATAATGAAAATCTAAAATTCAACATCTTGAAAACTGTTGCTCTACATAAAATCAGACTCTACAAGTGGAACCGGCAGCTGTTCACAGAGAGCAATGTCCAAGCATGCTGATGGAAAGTTGAGTGAAAGGAAAAACTGCAGCGGAAAGAGATCACCAAAAGAGAAATGGGATTTTCATTGATAAGCTTTAAAACACACCAACCTGCAGTCAGACGTAGATTATGTCTGATTTCCTCGTGATCACACGGGTGAGTGTACTCAAAGATGTTGTGCCCCATAAGCTCAGTCTGCCAGGAAACAAAGAGTTAAAAAGAACCCTTAAAGCAGAAAGCACCAGTAAACCTCTCACCTGCAGACTCACCTGGCTCAGGCCCATGTACTTGCTGACATTGTCCGATAAGAAGATCATGTCTCCCATGGTGGAGAGCACCATGAGAAATCCCTCCAGGATCTTCAGGTACATGCTGGTTTCATCCAACGGGTTCAACCCCTCCGTCTCTTTCCCAAACTCAAACCGGCATCCGTCCCGTGCCTCTCCTCCGTGGCGGTGTCTCATGCCGTGTCCGAGCTCTGCGTGCGACCCGGCAGTTTCTATTTCGAACCCAGGAACAGAGATGAGTTTTTAGAAAGTTGTGCTGCTCTGAATGATGCAAACGGCAGACGAAAGGATGTGGTGTATTTCTGCAAATTTCACATGAGTCTGTTCCAGGTGTGAAGTAGCACTTCCTCTGTCTGACACCTAAAGCTTTGTCAGTTTTTATTCTTCTAGCAAAGATTACAGGCGGTGATAAATGATCAGTCATGCATTTTTATTTGCCTTCGTTCATTTGAACTGAAAGGGAATTTAGTCAGATTTTTCTTTGCATGAACTAATAAGTCAAGAAATATTTCTTAAAATTTGGTCTCTGCAGCCAAACTTCATCTTCATGTCCGTTCGACTATTTAAACACAATAAACGGCTGGTTTGTTTTCGAGGTGTTTTCACCTTTGAGCAACGCCTGCATGCGTATGTAGCTGAGGGTGAGGCGGATGACGGACGGTTTGTCCAGATGAGCTCTGACGGAGGGCTGGAGCGGCAGGAGGCGGGACAGATCACCAAACACGTCCGACTCCACGCGCCGCCGCCGCCGGGCCGCCTCGCGGCTGATCGCGCTGCACATGGCAGAGACCAGGGGGAAAAACTGAGTACTTACATCGAAAAGAAATCATATTTCATACCATCAATAAGAAATAATATCAGTAATAATAATATAGTAGGGGCAATCAGGTAAGAAACTATAAAGTATAAAGATTTTAGTCGATAAAAAACTAATTATTGTCATTGGATAAAGGCAACAAAATATTATTGCTTGGTTACTGGAGTACACAAAAAAGGATATTGAAAAACTATGAGTGTGACTATATATACACATACACACCTAAACGTACATACTGGTAAATAATTAGATAAAAATTGATAAAAAACAATAACCAATTCTAATAATTAAAACAAAGATGGCAAAAGAGAATAAAAAAAAACCATGTAAATACTAAAAATATATATGGAAAATTCATTAATTTAAAGTAAATTGATAATATTTTTAAATAAATTCACAAGAATATGGAAAAAAAAAGAAAAAAAACAAAAGTTCAGAATTTACATGAACTGTAGTTTACTGAGTACATGTAATAGAGGTGTACAGAATATTTTTAACTTGTCGAATTTGCCTCATTATGCGAGTTAATTAAGTCAACACGCTAAAACATTGACACTGCATGACTAAAAATATAAAATGCTCACATTGCGACCTTGTGACCTCGACTATAAAACAATTGCAGCGAATTTCTCAACAAGTGAGGAAGCGAATAAGACTTCTCTTTTATCCAACTACAGGCTGGGTTTCAGATCTTTGCCAACTTATTCTTGTTCTAATTTCCTCCAGATTTAAAAAAACAGAAATCAGAAAATGAGAGGTTTACCGTCTCTTCTCCTTGTCGGCCGTCATTGCGTCCTGCGGAGTTCCCCGACTGGCGACATGGCGGCGATGATGCTAACAGAGGTTTCCCTGCAGCACAGATGAGCTGTCCTGGCTCCAGTGACTGTCACCTCTCCCCTCCTGCATGCAAACAGTCAAGCAGGTCTCCAAAGACCGAGAGCTGTGATTGGTCGGCTGGCCAGGAAAAGCATCACCTTATCCCCTCCTTCCGCTCCTCCCTTTTCAGGCTTCAAACTTTCTCAGCATCCCTCAGATTTGACTCCAAAGCGCAACAGCAGGAAATAATAGTAACAAAAAAAGGAGAGAAAGGGGGCGGGGGGTAAAGCAGACAGAGTCGTCTGGGATGGATGTAGACAGCTCAGTGTTTTATTGGAATCAGACCAGACGGGGGACTAGCCCGGCTGTTGCACTACATTTTTGGCACAGAATAAAAGATAAGAGTGACCAGGAACAGCCGTACCCCTGGGTGCACAAAGCGTCACTACACACCGACTCTACTGCACAGACAAGCAAACCGGCCCGTCTTCAGATCGCTGTACAAGAAACGCGACAAACCGTCCCTCTTTGAGTATGCGTGTGTGGTTCAGAGAAAGAGACAGTGAAGGGGGGGAGGAGGAGGAGGAGGAGAAGAGGGCGAGCAAAGGGGAGTGAGTGCTGCGTGTTTGAAGTGAGAGGTAATTCAGCTGCTGGTTCACCAAGTTTCCTAACAACCGGCTGTAACAGACCTATAATGGTATAGTTATAGTTTTACACATAAAGGTTTTTCATCCTCCAGATACACTTTACAATAATAATAATAATAATAATAATAATAATAATTAATATAATAATTAAAAAAGACAGCAATAAGAAAGAAAAGCCATTTTGAAAAACAAAAATAATAATAATAAAGCAAAAGTGAGAGCGGTTTTTGGCTGAGAGGGACAAAGAGAAGCAGGGAAAAGAGGAATTGCCAAAAGAGAAGATGGGCGAAACATCGGTGGTTGCTATAGATGCAGAAATGCAGAAAACAAAAAGTCGAGCACGACGTGGAGGAGATTAAAGTTCACACATTCATGCGCACAAAAATGTACATTCACAATACTTGGAGAACAGAAAAGAAAGAAAGAAACGGGCCAACACATTCACACCGGCCGGCAGGTCTCTGAAACTTAACAGACGGATGAAACAGTTGGACACCGGAGTATTTTTTTTTTTTTAATGCTACACAGGCCGCCTGTAACACTCTGCTCCACATAATTAGTTCAATAGCCTGTAACATTCACTGTACATACAGCGCCTTGGAAAAAGCATCCATGCCCCTGTTAGGTTTCCATATTTCTTTGTCATTTCACAACAATTTCAAACATATTTCAGTGGGATTTTAAGCGACAGACCAGCACAAAGCTGCATCACTGCAAAGTAGAAGCAAATTATAAATCACTTTCACAATATATGACAGATAAAAATCAGAAAAGGCATCCCCCTTTACGGCTAAACAAAGCAGAGTATTCCAAGAAGTTTCAAAAAGTAGAAACCACGTTTAGGGCAAGAAGGAAGCCATTGTTGAACAAAAGGCAGAAGAATTTCTGTTTGCGGTTTTTACTATCACTACAAACCACGTAGACAGCAATCTCTGTGCCCAAAATGTTCCTTTTTGATATTTTCCTCCTGCACATCACCCTGAAAACAACATCTCCATCATAAAACATAGTGGTGGCAGCATAATTCTGTGGCAATGCATTGAATGGAGATAAAAATACTTGAAGAAAACCAGCTTGAGGCTGTAAAATACTTTATATTCCAGCAGCAAGACGGCTCTAAAGATACAGCCAAAGCTGCACTGGTTTAGATTGAAGCCTATTCGTGTCTTGGAACGGCCTAGTTAAAGTCCAGACCTAAAATTAAATGAGAATCTATAGCAAGACTTGAAGACATTCTCCCAGTAATAGGAAATAGCTTGAGCAGTTCTACAAAGAAAAACGAAGGAAGTTGTCAGCCTCTAAATGTGCAAATGTGCTATTTGTCATCCTCCTTCCAATTTCCATATATGGATTCATGTTGTGTTGGTTTATCACAGAAAATCAACATAAACCGCATCAATATTTATGGTTGTCACCTGAAAATAAACGTGAATAAGTTAAAAAAAAAAGGGTATGAATGATTCTGCAAGGCGCCGTACGTAGGACAGGAGGACAGAGAGTGTGATAGTCAAAGCAATTTCACCCAAAATCCAACAGAACAAAACATTTTTAAAGAAAATAAAAACAAACAATAAAATATATAGATAGTCATGGTATTGCACAAAAGGGTGTTTGGCCCTAACTGGTCCACGATAAGGACAGTAATAACACAGGAAGGGTGCTTGTCCATGCGCAACGACGCCCCCTTTAATAGCAGACGATACCGACACGATACAGCCACTCGACACAGGCTATGTACAAGCCTTCGCACCGCCGCTCCGTGTGTGTGTGTGTGTGTGTGTGTGTGTGTGTGTGTGCGCGTGAGAGAGAGAGAGCTGGTGCTGGTTAGAGAAGCAGTGTGAGTGTATCCATGTGTCTAAATAGAGTGCATTTGTGTGAGAGCGGTGCGTGTGTTCATATTTATTGTCATAGTCATATTCATAATAAAACCCAGGCAACAAGAACGACACAATGCAAGTAAATAATGCTCCATAAAAGTAACATCAACCGAGAGCTTTAAAAGGAAAAGATTGACAGTGCGAATGAGTGAGAGAGTGTGTGTTCTGGTTCTGCTGAGTGTAAGCATGCCAGGCGTTACTGTTGTCTGATAGGTGTGTGTGTATGTGTGTGTGTTAGGTCTGCAGCTCCTCCGGAGCGCAGTAGGAGAAGTCCTTGAACTCGTCCTGGTTGATCTGTTGGATGATGGCCTCGTTGGTCGGCGTCAGCACCGGGTCCTCCTTGGTGAAGTCCTGGTCGAAGTTATTCACATCTCGCTTGGTTTTCTGAAGGAGAAAAGAAGCAAATTCTGAAACTTTATTATAACCTGATGCTTAACAGATTACGCCACAGCGACACCTTCTGATCAAAAAGACTAACTGCGCCTTGCAAAAGACTGAGTAAAAGCCTGTCCCACTCTGATTTGCTCTCAACGACAGCAGCAGGAACACACACCCTCCTGCACCATTGTTAGCGCAGAAGCGTGAAAACCTTAAAAATAATTGGTTGCCATGGAGACTTGCAGTCTTGGTGTTGCAAGGAGTTAATGGTGCATTCTAACAGGAATCCCTGAGGCACCTTTGCAATGCAAAACGTTTGAGTCGCATTTAGTTTTGGCTTCTAACTTCAACTCTTTAAGTCAAATAAATCTTGTGAGTTTTAGATTTTGAACTTAAAAGTGTGAGTTTGTGAAACATAAACTTGCATTAGTAAGTTGTGCTAACTTTTTATTAGCTTTGGAGATTTTTTTAAGTTAGAAATAAAATAAAAAAACTAAAGAAGAAATAAACGGGAGTGGGGACTTTAAATAGGTACAAACTTAATAATGTGAGTTAAATAATACAGGAATGTGCAATTGTTCCACTAGATGAGGGCAGTAAAAACTCACAATTCAAGATTAATGAGCAATCAATACTTAGAGAATAATGTTTAGACTACTTGTCCATTTGATAAAATTCAAATTCTGATTTAAAACCAAAACTGTTTTTTGCATTTTCAAGGCAAAAAAATTGCCTTAAAAATCCAATTGCAGATTTGACATCACAGGCCCGCAGCAACATAGATCCTTCACCATATCTAACAGCAGGGAAGATAAGGTTTATTCACATGTATATCCATTATTTGAATATAACATTAAGCATTTACTGAAGGAGATTTTATTAACTGTCCTGAAGTTGACTTCAGTGTGGTTTTTTAGATCCACAAAATGAAAATTTTACTCAGATGTCTTGGTGAGTTCAATTCACTGTTCCTGGCTTTACAGGTATATGTGCTGATACAGCTGTGCAACACTACTATGACATCCATCCTGTTTTAACTTCGCTCAAAAAACTTGAAGCTGCGCCACATTAAGCCAGCTGTGTGCATTCTCAGATAAAATCAATTTGTTTCTAAGTGTGTGGGTTTCTTACAATCCGGGGTTTGAACGGCGGTTTCACTTTTCTCTGCTCCAGTAGAACCCAGTCGATTTCCCTGAAGAAGGAGTGGGTCTTGATGGCCTCCTCACAGCCCTGGCTCACCACGCAGCCCAGACGCTTGGCCGGGTTCTTCGTCATGAACTGAAAACAAAGACAAACCATGAGCTGAAAATAAGCTGGACATGTTGGAGGCAGATGAGAATGAATGAATGAATGAATGAATGAATGAATGGATGGATGGATGAATGAATGAATGAATGAATGAATGAATGAATGAATGAATGAATGAATGAATGAATGAATGAATGGATGGATGGATGGATGGATGGATGGATGGTTAGTTTATTGGATGTTTGGTTTATTGGATGGT